TTGTCAACAACAATTTCCATACTTGTGCATAACTTCCAGATCTTTCATGTTGCATTGTCATATAAGGTGGCAAGCTCAACTAGAATTCTACAGAAATAATACATTTGATATACAAATACATATATATCTATATATTTAGTATACAAACTATATTTAGTTGTTTATGCCAATTTTTGAGGTCATTTTAAGTTTTGTTTTTAAATCTTGTTCTAAACGCTGAACGACTTAGACAATATCCCTCAAGTTTGTTTATATTTTTAGAAGCAGCCAAAATAAATATTAAGATTTGTCTGATATTTTCAGTTTCAGCTTGTAGATAATTTATCATCAAAATGTTGAGAGAATGCAATACAAACTATCAATTTATCTTCATACTAAGCGCTGAAAACTTGAAATGTCAGCAACTATGCTTATATATAGATCAGCAAATTTATATAAACAGATATTTATTATTTAATATGCAAAAGACAAAATATTTTAAATATTCAAAATAATAATAAATTGTTTTAAAATTAAAATATATGTTAAAAGTATATGTGAGATACATATATATATATATAAGATAAAAAATTCAATCTTAAGCCCAGAACAAGAATTGGAATCCTTATACTAGACGCTTTTAATAAAAATATAGACTATAAGCATACACATGTCATATAACATCATTATCGGTGCTTGTGATCGCAATTATCTATCTCTAGATAAACACCTCAATTAAAATAAAACTACGACTTCTTACAATGGCTATGCATAATATTTGCATATAGATCAAGTAAATACAAATTGTTCGTAGTAAAATACCCACAAAGAGTTCAAGCACAGCGCTCAGAGCGCAGCTTATTAATGTGTCAATATTGAAATTATAAAGATCGTACGGAAAAATGCCTGGTCTAAAAATAGAAATCTCATAAATACATATTTGCGAATGCAAAGTGCAATAAACGCAAAATGTGTTGACGCCGCAGCCACAGAAGCACATACGCACACATACACATACACGCACACCACCATCAGGCACGCACACTGCACACACACTGAAAGCAATTGTCAGCTAGCCAATCACGATCACCTTTACCGTTCCACAGTACCCCCATTCCCCTTCCTCCTAGCGCGCATTGCATTGGAAATGATATGCAAAACCACGAAGTGAACTCCTCTATAAATAAACGCACGCAGTGAAATGAGAAATATTTTTTTCGTGCGAATTTTTATTTTTATATGTAAGTCGATGATGGCGCATAAAACTGCACAGCATTTAGCTCCTTGTGTCGAAAATTTTTGACTAAATACATGTGGATAAAGATAATTCATATAGATATATATATATTTATAAATGTATATAGTACAATTTTAGCGAACGTCAGAGAAATGCGTCTATGCCATATGCTAGAGACATGGAAACTAAATCATTAGCCAACCAGCAATGCGATTCACGAATTTTCCATGACGGTTCTTTCTACGTAGATACAAAACGTATTTACAGAGAGCTCTATGCATGTATGTATATCTATATGTATATGTGAGTGTATATCAAGGGAATGGAGGTTATTGTGGGTTATAGCTATGTGAATATATTGTCTCTCCTCTATGCTCCACTTTTTGGAGCTCTACTGTTGCTAATTGTATTCGTTTGTTATAAAAATGTTGTTGTTTTTGATATTGTTGTTGTTGCTGTTGCGTTGATAAAAATCTAGTACAATATATAGAAAAGATACAAGCCGCAAACCAAATGGAACATCTTTATATATATACGAATTATAAATGCGCTACAATAAATTTCAATTGGAATTTAATGCATATTCATGTTGATACAAAAGAAGCACCAAAAAAAATAATACAAAAAAAAAACTAAACAATAATAATCATATGTTTCGTGTATATAAAAATTATTGTTATATAAAATATTGATATTTATCAAATTTGTACGGCCAACTTAAAGCTGTATTTAATTTTTTGTAAACATTTTTATTTATTTTTAAAATTTATTTTTTCTTTCCTAATTGGAGGCAATTGTTCCACTGTGCCACTGTATCGTAGCTCTCTCATTCTTACGCTCTCAGTGCACTGTAAAACAAACCAACCACCCGCCTCCCTGCCTGTTGCCTTGTTGTTGATATTTGCTCAATACATTTATTTTTGTAGTTCTATTGTACGTTGTTGTTGTTTTCTTTTTGCCTGTTTCCTCCACACTCGTCTCTTTACACACTTGTTACGCGTTGTTGCTGTTGCCGTTGCTGTCTACTGCTGCTGCTGCTGACGTTGGCGCTGACGTTTCCACGCTTTGGCGTTTGGGGCTATTCCGCTTTGGGCTGCGCCAACATACGCTCAGTTGTTGTGCGGCGTTGAATTCAAACGCGTCGATATCGCGTCGAGCGAAGCGATACCCAAAGCGTAAAGCAAAGCGAACCGAAAGAACGAACGAGAAAAAAAACGCGCGCGTGCGTTTTGCTGCCAACGTCGATCGTCCATCGAGTGTATGGGACAGACAGAGAGAGAGAGAGAGAAATATAAGGGGCATCTACTGCAAAATGTAATTACCATAGCAATGAAGAAATCATCATAGTTTTGCGTAAATTGTTTTGATTTCTTTTGCGTGAAATCAATAAAAATGCGAAATGCAGGGCCTTAATCGAAACTAATTGAACTCTTGTGATCGCCTATCGAGACAATTTCCTTTGCGGTCGTGTGACAAAACACGCTGCTTATCATTTTCACATGATCGTGTGAGCGGTATACCCTGCGATACCCCGCCCCCATACCCTCCCCCTCAGTTGCTTGGCTAACGTGTGATTTTAATATTGATTCATTGTGAATTTTAGTTAGCGGCGCCTGGCAACGTTTGCTGTGGGTTTTTCGATTTTATTTTTATTTTGTTTTGTCTAGTGGCTATTTTAAAAAGTTCTTCTTTTTCGTAAGATTTCGCTTAAATTAGCATGCATATATAGGCGTCAATACCTTTGCTCAAGTGTTTTCTTTTTCTTAAGAAAACAGAAATATATTTCCTGTGCGAGAGCACCCTTAACTTCTGCTCCACTGTTTGTTGTGTAAACATATTGTTTTTATTGCTTTCGAGCATTTTATTTGCCTTTCTCATTATTGCGAAATTCGGCAAATGGCTTGTTGTATTTGGTTTCCGTTTGCTCCAATTGGAGCCGGAATGTTTGACATTCTCAACCTAAGCCACATGACGACGCGCCCTTGATAAAAGTACTTTTATTGTTATTATTATTTTTGTTAGATGTTAGCCTATCATACCGACCCACCGTCCACTCCCTATGCTAAAAAAAATTATTTCGTGTACTGAAGCACCCCTGTTCCCTTTTAGCTAACTGTGATTGAAGCTATAACTGCACAAACAGCTGTAACAACAAGAGCGAGAGAGAGCAAAACACTTTCAAGCAATTGTACCATGTTTAATATAAGCAGTTAACTGAATACTTAATTGCACTTTCTACGCCTTGTTGTTGTTGTGGTGATCTAAAAATAACTGAATGCGGTCATTGGTCCCTCGCACACCTCCGCACAGTCCAAACTGATTGCGCCGAGCGTCAATTTTTATGCTACTGCGGATCAGTGAAACAGACAGGGAGAGAGAGACACACCAAGCCAACGAGAGATTGAATAATAAAGAGAGAACTCGCAGTACACACTATATTTGCCGCTACTGTTGTACAGTCAGCGTCTAGCATTATAAACACGCTCTTACTTAACTGCAGTTGATTCATAAAAATTCAAAATATACACAACGCTTATCAGCTCGCCTGGTTGTGGAAAAATTTTTGCCTTTACTCTATTTATCAGTCATTAGGAGGGCAGCAGGTCTTCTCAGCTATATGCGTGTGTGTGTGTGTCTATGTCGTCGGCATGTGCTGCTGGGCGTAAACATTTTGTTTACTTTATGAACGGGTGCGAGTGCAAGTAAAGCCCTCTCAGCCGCTTTAATTATACCCAAAAAGAATTCAATGCGCCGCTCAGCTGTAGTTGTAAAAGTTCGCACAGTGGGCGCAGTAAAGCGTTTAGTAATGGAAATTACTCATTTTTTAATATTTGATAAACTGTCTAAGTTTTGAGCATTTTCAATTAACTTTTATTGAAAAGTTTAGTTATTAAATGCTTACTTTCTGTTACGATTCAATGGGAATAAGAACGAAAACACTTTTCATTGGAATTAATATTTTTCCACTTCTGTTTCACTTTAAATATTGTTATAGGCTTATGCTTATACCTAATAAAACAGACTACATTTTGATATTATTTTATTTGCCTGTCTGTTAATCAAACATATCTTATAAATTGTCGGTTTTAACAGAATTTAAAATAAAAATCAGTAAAGATAAATTTGAGATATATAGTGTGATAGTGTTAGTTGTTCAGTCATTAATAAATTCATTAGTTTATCAAACAAATTTTTGAGGTATTGATGTATTCCTTACTTATTTTTCACACGACTACGTAAATTAAATTAAGAAAAAAATAATTTTGAGAGCTTATTTTGGGTGATTCAAAATATTTGCTCAATCAATCAGACGATGTATAGCTTAAAAAATTGTAGTTTTCCAACACTGTTTTCGACACTTGTGCATGAATTTCAAAGCTTTCAACTTAAAAACATATTTATATGATGTTTGAAGTCTATACATTGATTTATCAATCCGATTCAATCAGTTTCAATCAATCAGCTTATGTATGTTTTTTTACTTCTTGCCACAGGCGATATCAAGGCCACCTTATGCTTGCTAAATCTATTAGTCAATCAATCAATCAGCTGATGTTTTGATGTATCCCTTTTCATCTACTTTCCACACTTCTGTGGATTTCAAATAAAAACCCTTTCAAGGCCTTGTTATGCCTACTAGATTTATCCGTCAATCAATCAGCTGATGTATTGATGTACACACATTTACTTTAACTTAAACTGCTTCGTTTTGTGCTTTTCCCTTATATTTATTGTGACTGAGGCGCTCTACTATTATACGTAACTCTCTTTTGCTCTATTGCAGAAGTTGCAAACTTCGCCAACAACAACAATAACAACAGCAACAACAACGATTGTAACTACATTAGCAACAACAACAACAACAACAATAACAATTGTAACAAAGTAACTGAAGATTCAAACGTAGAAAAAAATCGTATCTTTGACTGCTTTGGCAAGAGGGAGCAACAGCAGCAGGAGGAGTCGGAGCAGCAGCAGCCGGCGGAGACGACAAATACACATCACCTGAGACAGAGCACCAGTTCGGGCAGCTACAACGTGCAACAGTTAAGCGCCATAGCGTGTCGCAGTGACAGCAAAAGCTACTACAGGCAACAGGACACAGAGTTTGGCCAACAGCAGCAGCAGCAGCAGGAGCAACAGGAGCAGCGGGAGCAGCAGAGACAGAAGCTAATCAAATCAGGAGTTGCTGTTATAGCCAAGCAACCGAAACGTCAAGCGCAACGTTCACAGAGCCAGCCGGCATTCTTGCAGCAACAGCAACTCAATCGCAACAAGCGTCCCGGTACACCGCCCCCGCACGCCGTTAAGAGCATGACTTCCATACCTGCCACGCTGTCCAGCAATAATGTTGCAGCAGCAGCTGCAGCTGCAGCAGCCGGCTTGGGCGTTACGGCGCCGGAGAAACAGCCCTGGCCCAATTCCAAGGACGACTACGAGCTGAGGGATGTCATTGGCGTGGGCGCCACGGCGGTGGTGCATGGCGCCTACTGCATACCGAAGAACGAGAAGTGCGCCATCAAGCGCATCAATCTGGAGAAATGGAATACCTCAATGGATGAGCTGCTCAAGGAGATACAGGCGATGTCCTCGTGCAATCACGAGAATGTCGTCACCTATCACACATCGTTTGTGGTGCGTGAGGAGCTGTGGTTGGTCCTGCGCCTGCTCGAGGGCGGCTCATTGCTGGACATCATTAAACACAAGATGCGCACGGCCAATTGCAAGCAGGGCGTCTTCGATGAGGCAACCATTGCCACAGTGCTCAAGGAGGTGCTCAAGGGTCTGGAGTATTTCCACTCGAACGGACAGATCCATCGGGACATCAAGGCGGGCAACATACTCATCGGCGACGATGGCACCATACAAATTGCTGACTTCGGGGTTAGCGCTTGGTTGGCCACTGGCCGAGATCTGTCCCGGCAGAAGGTGCGTCACACATTCGTGGGCACACCTTGTTGGATGGCACCGGAGGTGATGGAACAGGATCATGGCTATGACTTCAAGGCGGACATCTGGTCGTTTGGCATTACGGCCATTGAGATGGCAACGGGCACGGCGCCCTATCACAAATATCCACCGATGAAGGTCCTGATGCTGACGCTGCAGAATGAACCGCCCACACTGGATACGGGCGCCGAGGATAAGGATCAGTATAAGGCCTATGGCAAGACATTCCGTAAAATGATCGTTGAGTGCCTGCAAAAGGAGCCATCGAAACGTCCGACTGCCAGCGAGCTGCTCAAGCACGCCTTCTTCAAGAAGGCCAAGGATCGTAAATATCTAACACAAACCCTGCTCCAATCCGGCCCCAGCATGGAGACGCGCGTCCACAAGGCAGCTAAACGTCAGCCGGGCGCATCTGGGCGTTTGCATCGAACGGTCACCGGCGAGTGGGTGTGGTCCAGTGAGGAGGAGGACAATGCCAGCGGCACTGGCGGACGCAAGCATCCCTCATCCGATTCCGAGTCCGAGGATCGTCCCATCAATCGACTCGAACGTGCCGATTCCTCGGACAGCGATCGGGATGAGACAACACCCGAAATAACACGCAGCCTATCCTCGACTACAATGACGCCAGGTGGCACTGCACCTGCACCTGGATCTGCACCTGCTTCTGCTAATGCTGCAACAGCAGCTGCCACCCAGGAGCTGGCGGCTGGTGTAGCCCAAATGCCACTGCCCAGCGAAGCGGCTGGCGAGGCGCCACCCGTGAATCTGGTGTTGCGCATGCGCAATCTGCGGCGCGAGCTGCACGATATACGCTTTGAGTTCGCCGTGGGCAAGGATACGGCGGAGGGTATTGCAACGGAATTGGTGGATGCGGGCCTGGTGGATGCATTGGATACACAACCGATGGCCGTGCATCTGGATCAGCTGATTGCCCAATGCGAGACGATGAAGACAATAACGTTCCAGCTGAGCTCGGGCGTTCAGCCGGGCGAGACGCCCGACGAACGTTCCCTTGTGGGCTATGCGCAGATATCTATAACGGACTAGGATACGGTCACATATCCACCTTAATATCCTCCCCCACGGTCACTTACCGTTATGTTGCCTGCGCCGCTTTTAGCTATATAGACTAGAAACTAGACTATAACTGTAAATGCTAATGCTAGTTATAGATCGCAAAAAAAACGCAAGCCGTTCGTTTACTATAGAAATTATATTTGCCTATATCATACTATCTGTCTCTCTCTCGCTCACTCTCTTCCACTTCGTCGCTATCTCCCTCTTTTTAACACTATCTTTTTATCTATCTCTATCTCGCTCTGCGCATTGTAATTACTTCATAGACCCCCTTCGCAGTCCTACCTCCCGAGTAAAAAGAAGAGAAATACCTGCCGTAGTTAGTCGCAGCATCCAAGCTAAATCGAAAATCGTGTACTTATTCGTTATTGTTTCTGCATATATAGAAAGTTTATATATATATAATATATATTACAATCCCTACAAAATCATATATATATATATATATATATATATGTACTTATATATATATATAATATATGTACGTTTGTAGTGGCTACTATTTAAACCCGATTCGCGGGCCACTTTTAATTTATTCTCTAGTTTAAGCCCAAGTTTTGTTTTTTTTTGCCCTTCCCCCTTTTAACCCGTTAAATCTTTAAGTTCGTTCGATGAAGTACAGTTGTGTCGTAAACAGCTAAACAATTACCCATTAGCGTTAGTAATATTTTGTCTGCTAAAGATTGTATTTAATTGTTCATGAAGTACAGTAAAACCTACATATATATATATATACTATAATTATAATGAATATTAAACCACATACTTATAGTAAAAACAAAACAAAAAAATACGAAAAAAATTATGAAAAGATATGATGAGAACAACAAATTGATTTTGTGTTTTTTCTTTCAAAGGGATTTTTTCAAATATATTGGCAAATAAAGATATATTTTAAAATAATTGGGAATTTGATTATTTTTGAACTAAAAATTACAAAAAAAAAGAAATTAAAATTAATTTATTTATTTTATTTTTTACATTTTATTTTCTAATAAAAATATATATTTTATATTTTTAAAAATACTAAATTTCTTATGAAAATAAAAAATATATTTAAAATAAGAAAATGTTTTCGATTACATTTTATATTTCCATTTACGATTTAGTAAATTTTTTTCTATATAAATTAAAAAATTTATTTTATTTTTAATTCATTTATAATAAATTTTTCACATATATTTACCATCAGCTCAAGACCTTTTCTAAAAATACAGTAAAAGAAGAAAAATAAAACAAAAAAAAAAAACAGGAACTATAGAGTCTGTAGCGCTCCCGATATGCCAGTATTGCCTGTAATTTTAGACTAGTGGAGAATACTTTTAAACTACAAATCTAGCTCTTAAAACACATTTTAAATGCAAAGACCTCTTAAATATTCCTAGTGCTACTAAATACTAAGCCATAGGCGCAGATCAGTGACAACTCTATATACATCTATATGTATATGTATTGTCTATAACTTATTGTACTTACATTGAATGAGAGAAATTGTATACGATTTAATTTGACATTGATATAAATAATAAAGTGGCATTTGGCTCTACGAACCCAGTTCAAAAAAGGGTTTTATTCAGCTCAGATTGTGCATATATTTCAAAATTCTGATACACCTTGCAGGGCACTATGGCCGACTATTTCGATGAGCTGGGACATGAGCCCACCGGGCCGGAGGGGGCCAACGATTTCGAGCGAAACTACCGACGTCTGCAGGTGCTGGCCATAATGAATGGCATCGATATGGAAATCGAGGTGCCGGAGGCATCTAAAAGGGCTATAGACGCGCTGCCGATCCATGAAATTGCAGCCGACGAGGTCAAGGAGGATTTCGAGTGCTCCGTGTGCAAGGAACCGGCCAAAGAAGGCGCCAAATTTAAAGTTTTGCCATGCAAACACGAATTCCACGAGGAGTGCATTATGCTATGGTTAAAGAAGGTAATATATATAATATATTTACAAACATCATATAAATTCACTTATGTACGCACCTCTTCAGGCCAATTCTTGTCCAATTTGCCGTTATATCTTTGTAAGTATTTTTTATAGACATTCGTAAAATAAAAGTTGGCAACATAAACTCAAATAAAAATTTCCCATAGGAAACGGATGATGAGGTCTACGAGGAGCTGCGACGTTTCCAGCAGGACGAGGGCAATCGACGTCTGCGCCAAGAAAATTTAATGGACTCCATGTTTGGCTAAGAGAAACGAAACACATATTTTTTTTATATTTTTTCAATGGTTTTGGTTTGAATTCGGTGTCGTGTAAAATGCAATAAAAATAAACTTTCACATTTAAACAGTTTTTTAAATAAGAAAAAAGGCAAGTTACAAAGAAACAAATAGTTTCCGTCACACACGAGTTATCTCTTTCCAGCGCTGTTTTGTTCCTCAGTTCAATGTTCATATTGAGTTGTTAGAACTAATTGAATTGTTTAAATAAATTTATACAAATAAAAAATGATGATGATGTTCAGAAAAAACTTTTATTTTCCTGAAAAAATAAAATAAGAATTAATATTGCAATTCAAATTGAATTTAACCGTTAACAGTATGTTAATGCTCATGCCTTAACAGCGTACTGACTTCAGTTCGTGAGCAACCGATTTGCCAAATGAATCAGTGATCTGCGCGAGCTTGTTCAACACTGTTTTGACAATTAGTAGTTTTGCGCACTTCAGTAAAGCCGGTCAATTATTTTTTTACTTTTGCCGACATTTTGGAAAAAAAAAGTTGTTCCACATCAGACACGCTGTGTTAACAGCAAATTATAAAATTATAAACAAAAATGATCGCCGACGACAATAGTGTTAAATTTTTCGATCGCAAATTTGTGGCGGTTCATTTGCGCAGTCAATTGCATTGTCCAAAATGCACTCGCGAATATTCACACAAATTTACCGAAGGAGCAGGGGCCTCAGGTAAGATACAAATATAAAAATAGTTTTCAGTATTCTATGAAAGGAAAAAGCAATTAATTATGAGCCAGTAGATGAAATTTTTACAAATTTAGGGCGCCTGAGGGCATTTAATGTGGATGTTTGTATGTGCTTTGAGTAAGCTGTAAACCGTTATTTTTGTATATGTTTGTATGCGTATCTCTAGTTTTGTGGCTTTTTCTTTTGCGCTGCTTCTAAACAGAGACATTTGCTGTCCCTCACAGAGGGAATTTTATTGAATCAGGAAATATGAAGGGCAATTAATGAAGGCAAAATATATGCACTCCAGCTGAGAATACAGCAACTGTAAATTGAGTTATCGCGGCTCTCTTTGCTCTGCACAACAAATTTTGATGCCTGGCAGAGGGAATTTTAATTGAATCAGGAAATTTAAAGGGAAATTGTTATAAATGAAAAAAAAAAACATTAAGACGGAAATTTGTTATTTTATATTAAGCACTGTATTTACCTATTTAAATACCAATACAGATAATCATCGTCCATTTTTGTTACCCTGCGGTCATCATATGTGCGAATTCTGCATTTCGAAACATTGCCAGCAAGCGGACTTCAAGTGCGCCGTGTGCTTCAGCTCAGCATTGCCCAGCTTTATTGCAAAGGAGCTCAATGGCAAAAGTATTGGCAACATAAGTGACTACTACGAGCTGAACTATCACGTGTTGGGCGAAACAAATAGTCTGGATTATGGTAACCGCTATTCGCTGGAGGAGTCGTTGCTCTGCCTCCCGACACTAAGCGAGATCGTGCTGGAGACCAAATGCAGCGAGTGCGGCCACAGAGTAGCCAGTGGCGAATGCAAGCAGTGTAATGCTTTCTATTGCAAGCGCTGCTTCGAAACGGTACATCATTACAGTCGCGTCCTCAAGACGCACATCTTTCAGACGCTCGACGATAAGCAGCGCACTGGCAGTGACGTCGATCTTCGCATAGGCAATGACATCTTTCGCATGCCCGTCCAGCTGATGTGCAATGTGCACAATGTACCGGCAACCATCTTCTGCACCTCGTGCAGGCGCAACAGCTGCGAGGCGTGCGCCATTAGGCATCATGCCAATCATGTTACCTACACAGTGAGCGAAATGGTGAGCAAATGTAAAGATATGCTTAAAAGTAGTTTTTTCTTGTGTCTATAATGCTGTAGTCTCATAAATTAGATTCCTTGACTATTAGTACAATAAATGTTAGTTTATCAAATAATTTGTATATAAATAGAGCTCAACTTGTATGCCTGGCGTTACATATAAACTTAATTTTAAGCTTGCTTAAGTTGGCTAGTTAACTAGCTTAACTTTCAACTAGAGCCTTTTGTTGTCCTACAGTAACTTGATCTATTAGGCATTATTATATTATTATGAAAAACAGTTTCACCTATGCATGTGGAACATAGGTGAAAATGACTACAAATAATGCAAATTGTGGCCTATTTGTTTGATCAGTGCCGAAGTAGTTCATAAATGCTATTAAAATAACTTGAATGCCCTACTCATTTCACTAATCAATATCCATTTGTAGAATCATCGTTATGTAACCGAAATTCCATCTTCGATAAGTTCCATTGACGCGGCTCTCATGCAAATCAAAAATGCTCAGTTGGTGAGTGAATATGAAGTCAATTTACAGTTAACTTAATACTTTGCATTTATTATAATTAATCTTATATTTAATTGCTTTCTAGTATATAGTATATAGATAGTTATTGTTGCATTTAAAGTTAGCTATTTACAGTAGTCGCTCGCTATGAATAATTTAAAGGGCGTATGCCATCAACAGACGAACAAGTACAAGAACTCTCATTAGAAATATGGCAAGCATTCTCTCAGCCACAGGCTTATTGCTTTCTCATTCCCTCTGTCTCTCTTTGTCTCACTTCCTCGCCTGCTCCACGGGCATTAGGTGTCCAGTTGAGCCATCGGTTTTAATCTCAATCACCTCCAGCTTCTCGACGCTCACTTTCGTCGTCTCGCGCCGCTTTTGCCCGGCAGCCGAATTTGTGTCCCGCAAATTTTGCAGCTTGTCCTCCAGCTCCTCGCTGCCCTCTGGTGAGTCGTCGCCCACCAGTTCAGGCTCCAAAGTCAGCTCAGGATCGTTAGCTAGCGTTGGCAGCGATTCGAACTCCTCTGGCAGCTCTGGTTCCGGCGTAGATGAAACTACTATGGGCCGATGTCCCAGGGTTTGGGAGTCTTGCAATGTTGTTGTTGTTGTTGTTGTAATTGGAGCCATTATCGTGGTTGGTGCCTGGCCATAGGTGTCGTAGGTGCCACGCTCCGATATGTCGTCAATCTCATCGTCGATGAGCAGATTACGTTCCGAGCTCTGCTCGTAGACCTGTGCATTGATGCCACTGCCATGCGTGGGCGACAGCTTATGGTTCTTAGGCAAAGTGGGCGTGGATGCCTCAGCTGGAGCAGCGGGCTTTTCGGCTTGCTGATCGGCCTTACGTTGCTTTTCCAGACGCATTTTCTCTTCCATTTCCTGGAACTTCATGGCCAAGTATCTGAAATGTCAGTGAAAAAGTTCGTTAATTGATTTACTTTCAATTGATTATGCGTTGCATTTACTTATCCACAATGGGTCCGTTGTAATCCTCGGGGAATTTCGGATTGAAGGGCAGTATGTATTTGTAGAGCCGCTCATTCAACACATACAATTGCGAGGTCGTCGAGCACTTCACATTGAACCACCAGTCACAGGTCAGCGCAATCTGGAAATTATCAATTTTGGTTAAGCTTCTTTGACTGAGGAAATTTTGTTTTTGTGTACCTGACTGAAGATGGTGCCATTGGGGCATAGGAACGAGGCTTTGCCGCCGTTGAGATCACAGTAGTGCCACACCTGGCAATTGGTCTCCGGATCACCGAAGAAGCCCTTGTAACGCTGCTGCGTGCACTCGAAGCTGGTCTTCGGAATCTCCGCATAGTTCGGATAATCAATGCCAGCTCGACCTGTGCTGGGTCCCGGATGTTTATCTATAAAAAAGTCAATTGATAGACAATGTTGATATGGAAATCGAGCAAACTGAATTCCTTGCTCTGCTGGAAGGCAACTCACTTGGGCCCTTTTGATGCAGCAGATTCGCATCGACGTGTCCAGCAGTTTTGGCTGGCGCTTGCTGCACCTCCTCACTGCCCGTGCTGTAGTCGTAGTCGGGATTGTTGCTGCTGCTGGGCTTGGCCTCATGATGCTGCGGCGGATTGGGCACAATTGTTTGGGTCTGTTTTAGGTTCTGTAGAATGCGTATGAGCGTCTTGATGGAGTTGTCTATGTTGTCCGGGGTGAGGGTGTGCGGCAAATGATTGCTCGCCTGCAGCTTGTGGAGAATCTCGGCCAGCGACGAGGTGCGTATGTCCGGCAGCTGATCAACATCGTTCGGCGCGAGCACCTGGCTTGGTCTACGCTCTTGTGCATATTTGTGTATGGGCTTCAGCTTAACGGGCGGCGGTGCTTGGGGCTGCTCGCTGTGGACAGCTGATGTTGGGGGCTTACTAGTCACGTAGACGTACTTGGGCGTTATCTTGACAGTCTCGCTGGGCGTGGGTGGACTGATGTAGACGGGTCGTCGTGTTGCTTGATAATTGTGCACAGGCGTCACAGGCTGTAGGCGCAGCGTGGGTTGCTGTTTGTACAGATGAGGCCTACGGGTGGGTGGTGACAAGTCATGAAGACGCGGTGACTGGGAATGATCTGTGTACGGAGCTGTGGTGGTAACCAGGATGTAGGCATGTGATTGTTGTGGTTGTTGTTGCTGCTGTTGCTGCTGATGTTGCTGCTGCTGCTGCTGTTGTTCCTCGTCCAGCGATTGTCGTGGACCATCGATGAGGTAATCGATAAAGTGTGGCGGTGCGGGTGAGCTAAGGAAATATGACAGAGCGTATTATAAATAGTAAACAGAAGTCAACTAGAAGCAACTGAGAACCCAAGCATATGTTGAGGAGTGTTTATGCGGCCTGTGTGGTGTGGACTTACCCGAGCAGCGTGTCCTTTGGCTGCTCATGCAGTGGACCCATGAGGGCGCGCAGGGGTATATGCAGCACCTGTTGCTGTTGCTGTCCCGACTGAGTTGCCTCCGGACGTCCGAATGGCCCATTGTAATTGTGTAATTGACTGTGGTGTGATGGTGGTGATGGTGGTTGTGGTGGTGGCTCGGCCGTTGGAGTATGTGTGTGTGGACTGTGCGGATGTTTGCCCGCCTTCGTATTGCTTTGCTCAGGCTGTTGTTGATGGATATGATGTGGATGCTGTGGATGGTGATGAAGTAAGCGTCCCTGTTGTTGCTGCTGAATCTGTTGATTCATGCGCTCCTGCAAATAGAGCACGTACTTTTCCTGCGGCGTCAACGGCAGGTGCTCCTGCGGCAGGTGCTGTGGCTGCCGTTGTTGCAGCTGTTCCGGCGACATGTTGTAGTAACTCTCGTATTTGCTTACGTGTCCATAGGCCGGCGACTTTTGATGGACTATCAATGCGGTTTTTGTGGATTTCGATGAGGTGGAGCTGGCTGTGGCAGATGTCTCAACGGCTGGCTCATTGTACACGCTATAGCCAACGCTGCGGGGCACATGCAAAAGCGTATGAGTAGTGTAAACAGTGAAAGCAATGATTTTTTTAATAGTTTCTTTTATCGTATTAAAGTCACGTTTAGCTGTCAGAGGAACTATCGAACAACAAAGTTCTGGGGATGAATATTTTTTGTTCTCTAAGTTTTACCGATAAGGTTTCGCATATTGAGTTTCTGCTCAGACTTTCAAGATATCTGCATCAAACTGCAGCAGAAGCAGCTTCGCTAGTCTCTTATGCCAACTAGCTTCATCATCATCATCAGTTACTCATTGAAACACTCAAAGTTATCTAACTACAAATGTCTACTCTCACGACATATTTCACTGTATCAATATTGCGGTTAGGGTGTAATTGAAGGGGCTGTAAAAATAGCTGCTAAGCGACTGACCTGTAGCATTTATATATATATATATATACATATATATATCTACCTACATATATATATATACGTATGCATATTGTATTTGGGCGGGTTTGCCCGCGGTTGTTTATGACATGATTTTGCAATTTGTGAACATTACGAGATGAACACGAGGCGTTCATCAATGCGCGCCCATTGGATGCCCCTTTGGGGGCGCCTCGTGGTGTACAGCAAACAGCTTCTTACGTCAGCCAAACGAATGTCGTCAGAGACGTTGCCAGAAGATGAGACAGAGAAAGAGAGAGAGAGAGTGAGAGAGAACAGCAGCAACGGAATCAGTTGCACTAGCAGCCGTTGCAGAGGTTGAGGCAATGCATTAAATGCAATTGAATTCTATGCCCAAGGGCGTTGCATGCAACCTGTGTTGCCGTGTCACTGCTCTTTCAACAGCTCTGCCCGGTGCTGCTCAAGCACAGCCCGCCTCGGCCAGCTTTAATTTACCATTTTAATTATTTAAAATGTCTCAACTATGTCAAACAGCTCAATGTTTGTAAACAATGCTGTGCGAGCATAGGAAGTGTGAAGCAGAGATTTTTGCAACGAATTTAATTATCTAGAAAATGAAAAAGAAAAAGGCCAACTATAAAGTGAATAAATATTTTATAAGTTGAACAAAAATATTAATTCTTCTGGCACTACATAATATAAAATTGAAAATTATTAGAAACGAAAGTTTTAGACTTTGCTTCCTTTTTTGATAAATTGTGAAATAAAATTTCATATTTTAAACTGGAATTAAAATTATTTTAAATATTTGAAATTTGTTGCCGTATCTAGCTTAGATGCATTCATAGCGAGCAATAGTGCTTATAGTGGTTGTGATATTTCCAAAGATTTTCAAATTATTTAATAGATATTGATAAACATTATACATTCATAGATATAAATATTTTTGTATGTGGTATATATCTATATTAATAATAACATATATATTTGATACATTGCATCAATATAAAAAAAAAATCTTTTTAATACTGATTGGCTAAAAAAAAATATTTAAAAATTTTTAAAATTTAAAATTAAAAAATTTTTTTTGTAATTATTTTTATAGAAGTGTTTGGATTTTTAAAAGTTATATCAAATTGCATATCCCTAATAGGGACGCTTTAAACTTTGTTTAATTTTATTATATTTGAATTTAAATTTTAAGAAATCTAGCCACGATCGGATCTATTTGCTATAGGTACAGTAGAACTAACTTATTTTTGTCTCTGTTCAAAACTAGACATAGGGTATATTACAGTCGAGTGACTTTAGTTTTTGTTTAGCTTTTTCCTTTCAAATTCTTGATGAAATGGGTGCAACATTTATATGCAACATGCAATTGCAAATGCAACTGCAACAATGCCTGGTATTGAATAAACGTGTGACTAGGTGGGTGTGTGTGACTAGATGTATGTGTGTGTGGGTGTGTGTGAGAAACCACCACAAAAAATTCTAAGCGCAATACGCTACAGTAGATATTGTATCTAACAGATGCAACGCTGCAAATGTTAGCAAGCCACTAGCAGATACATTTTGTATCTTATAGATACAATATGAAATCTTACCTTGGATTCGATTGTACCGCCTTCTCTGCTGACTGCTGCTGCTGTTCCTCCTGTGACTGCGACTCCGGCATTGGCGAGACTCCGCCTATGGCGGGCACATCGCCGGCATAATCCGTAACAATTTGTGTTTGATGCGCATTTTTATGGTAGACAATTTCAGATGGCGGCTGCTTTTTGTTGTAATTGATTGTATTGCCGTTATGCAGCTCGTTGTTATTGTTGCTGTTCGACTTGCTCAGCGGTGTATAAATAATGGGTATAAAGTGTCCCGGCAGCGTGTTATGCGCTGTAAACGGCGTTAAATTGACTTTTGATTGTTTGCCACGTTGTCGCTGAAACTGCAGCTGCAGTTGCGGTGCCGGTGGCAGCAACTCGTACTGTTGCTGCTGGTCCTGCTGCGGCTGGCGCTGATGCTGTGCCTGCTCCTGCTGCGTCAGCGGCGGAAAGTGCTGCACCGTCTTGTGCTGTGTATGTAATATATTATGAGGAGGATGATGATCATTTGCACGATTATATTCGACTTTATTTATGCCGCAATCATATTTATTTTTTGCTTTTGTGTACTTGCCTTTTGTGTGGCGCTCAATGGCTTGTAGGCAATAAATGTGGCGCCTTGCCCTGACGGCTCCTTGCCCTTCACAGGTGGCACTGGTCCATGCGGCACCGCCAACGTGTGATACACATCGGCTGCATTGGACTGATAATGCGGCTGCTGTTGTGGATGCGACTGCGGCATGTAGGCCACGGGAACGGGTATGCGACTGGGTGGTGGGCCTGGCGCTGGCGCCAACAGCTGTGAGCCACCGGCGGCTGAGGCATGCTTCACAGCATATTGCTGATTGATGGGCAGCTCCGGTGCTGGCAAATAGAATGCCATATAGGGAATCAAGCGACGATTACGCTCCGAGGCGCTTAGCTCGGCATCTGCAACGACGTCGCTGTCGTTGTGCTTGCCATCGGCGTTGGCATGTGGCAGCTGCAAAAGGCAAAAAACTGCAAAGAGATGTGACAATTTGTAGTTTTTCTTACATAAATCTCATCGAATTGGATAGCTTATCTAATGCAGGTAGTGCGAGTCGAAAAGTGTCTTGTAATAAAATTTCGCTCTCGTTACAGTCATTTTAATTTTTATTTTGGCTATGTACTCTGCTCTAGACTTGAATATCTACTTATAGATCATCTTAATATTATATCAAGAGTTTGTTTGCGACTAACAGATCACCATTTTAGACTTCGAACTTAACATCACAACTTCAAAACTTTAATAAAAATAGTAAAATAAATTGAAATAATTAAAATGAAACTAGCTATAGCTATGCCTGAAGTTGGACAATTTATTATTGTTAAAAAAAATACTTTTTTTTTCAAGGAAACTTCTTGAATATTCAGTTAAATATTCAATATGAATATATATATTTATTAAAATAAGCAATTTCTGACATAAAAAAGCATTTAATTTATAATAGTAAAAATCAGATGTGAGAGAGAGTAAAAAAGTAGAGAGTAGAGAGTAAAAGAGTAAAAAAGAGAGTGACAGTGAGAGAGAGAGAAAGTGAGAGTGTAAAAGAGTGAGCAAGAGAGTGACAGTAAGAGAGTGAGCAAGAGAGTGCGAGAGTCTTAGAAAAAGAGTAAGGGGGAGAGAGAGAGCGAGAACCAGGTAGAGAGTTAGAGAAACAAAGTTGCGACAAATGTTGTTTAACCCACTAATGCCCAGTACCGTCAACGAAAATTGCTCCAAAAAATTAAAAAAAAAAAAAAAAAAACAAAAATTAGAAAAAGATTAGAGAAATTTACTAGATGTTATCATGTGTTTAAAAACGCATTTCAAAATCAATTAGTCTAAAATGATGAGCATTTGTTGATAAAATCGGATTACTTTGGAGAATTGTAAGCTTAAGAAGAAGTCCCTTTTTTCCTATGTATTTTTATTTAAAAAAATATTTTTATTCATTGGGTTGCGATAATACATTGTATTTGAAGTATGAAATGTGAGTGAATGCGAGGTATTTCGCGACTTTATCCTAAATGTAAATTATTCAGTGTGAAAGGTCAAAACACAATTTTTAGCTTTACAATATCATTGCTATGGTTCTTGCTCGCGTTGCAATTGTTGGTGCGGCAGTTGCTCCTTTTGTGGGTGCTCCTTCTCAAGCAGAAGCCAACTGCATTTGAGAATCTCACGCAGAGTCCAACGTGTCTCTGGGTTCGGATCGAGAAGCACAGCAACAGTAGCCTTGGCATGAGGCGTGATTACGTCATGAAACTTACGACGAAACGCATACTTCCTTGATCGCTGATCTTCCAGTAATTTGGTCAGATTTGCATCATCGAACGGCATCTTACCATTTAACATTATAAACAATATGACGCCCAATGACCAGGCATCAGCGAGCTTTGGATCATAGGGCACTCCATAGACGACTTCTGGGGCAGCGTAGGCTGCCGAGCCACAATATGTGTCTGATAACATACGCTTGCCGCCTTTGCTTTGGCAAAAGCAGGCGAAACCAAAATCGGCTAGCTTTATATTGAAATGTTCAGAGAGTAAAATGTTCTCGCACTTAAGATCTCTGTGGGCAATATCAAAGCTGTGTAAGTACTTTAAGGCATTAGCCATCTGATAGAACCAAATTTTGGCCTGTTTCTCCTCAACATAGCCAACCTTTTTGACGTGCGTCAAAAGGTCGCCTCGCTCGGCGAAGCGCATAAAAATAAAGATCTTCGGGCCGCGCTGCAAGATGCTATGAATCTGTATGATGTTCGGATGATCCAGTTTTGTCAATATATCCATTTCGCGGGGAAAGAACTTTTCGACAAAGTCAATGGGCGCCTTTTCCTTATCGATAACCTTGCACGCCAAATTGATAATATGACCAGTCTCATCAGCAAAGCTGGCGTTGATCACCGTCGCGTACGATCCCTCGCCGATTTTGGTGCCGATCTTGTAGCCCTGTTGGGCCAGGGCATGGATGTCTGAGCTTCGAGTGCCCCGCATCTGGGCATTTTCTCCATTGTTGCACATGATTCAATGTTGCCAATGTTGCCTTTTTTGTGTGTTATTTACCAACTGCATGGAGGAGTGGGCGTGGTGAGAGTGAATTAAAAAATGCATTCGAAACATTTACCGTTGCATTGGTTGAGTCGACTAAACTTGAATTTGATGGTACTATTACATAAAATTAACAAAAATTCCTATTTGGTTCCAGAAATTTTGACAAAATAAAAACGTGACAGAACAAGGACAATAACGAACTTAACTTGAATGAAACCAAACTTATCTTGATCAACGAAACCCAGTTGACTTTGGTTGTACAAAATATATACATATAGAAATCGAAATTGCAAAGTCGAGAAGGAATCGAAGCACTTGCGGATATATGACTAATGAATGCTATCAAATTCGTGTATTTGCCATGTGGCACGAATTTTCGACACATAATGCCTATGTTAACTATATCAAATTGTAATCTGATTAGTTTTGTTAGGGATGAATTGACTAAGTGTATTTCCTATGTCAAATGATGATGAATGATGATGATGATGATGATTATAATATCTTATTCAAGAATAGATTGAACTGTGACTAAATAGATTTCCTCGATTAAATCATTTATCAGTTGAGTATTCTTAACTTTACAAGTAACTGACAAAAGGAGGCTTTTCTTATCCCATAAAGTATATATTTTGAACAGCAGTAGCAGTAGAGTGAATCGAATATTCTGGATGCTTTATTTAACTTTAGTTAAAAACCTGAATCAGAAGTTTCTAGAGCAGTCTCATTAGTTGTTTTTATACCCTAAATATATTGCAATTGGGAATATAGGGTATAAATATTTTATAAAAATGTATGTAACAGGCAGCAGCAGGCGTCTCTATAAAGCATTAATAATCTTGGTTAGGACGGACACGTAAGTTGATTTAGCCATGTCTCTCTGTGCATCTGAATGTCTTTATTGCTCATAGTAAAGCAAGTGCTGCAGTCTAAGTATCTGCAAGTCGGGCAGTCTCGACTAAAGCACTGTAACTTGATATGATTTTTCTTTCTAATTTTAATAACGACCATCAAAAGAGAAGTGAAGTGCGCAGCATTCAACGATATCATTAGTGATAAACTTAGCTGTCAGTTGAGGTTAATTAGTTAACATTGTTTTATGTTTGTATTAACACTTCGATTGGCAGAGTTGTTGTATAGAGAAAAGAAAAACTAGAGCATAGTAGACATGGCCAGTTAAAACAAAATTTATGATAATTGCAATTTGAGTTTCAGTTATTTTATTATTTGTCTTTGCTCTTTCACAACGTTTGTAATTTCGTCAAAATTTCTGGATTGGAGGCAATTTTGTCAACTTTATTATAATAGTACCATCAAATTCAAGTTTAGTGAGGGAAATCCAACACAACGGTAAATATAACTGACAATCCAAGAAGCGACTGATATGAACACTCCCACTTAACTAACTCTGCTATGGCCAAAATGTATAGTTGGTACACAAAAAGGATCGTAGGCAAGAATATCGATTGGTAAAGCTCGACATTGCATAAATCATGACCAACTATGGAGGCAGCCGTCAGCTGAGCACACGCAGCTCGGACATCGACGCCCTGGCCCAGCGTGGCTATAATATTGGCCACAAGATTGGCGAGGGCTCCTATGCGACTGTAATCACCGCCGGCTATGCGGATGAAAGCGGTCATGGCGTTAATTTGGCTTGCAAGATCATCGATAAGGCCAAGGCCCCCACCGACTTTGTGCACAAGTTCTTTCCACGCGAACTGGAGATATTGACAAAACTGGATCATCCCAATATCATACAGATACACAGCATTTTGCAACGCGGCCCCAAGATCTTCATATTCATGCGTTACGCCGAAAAGGGTGATCTATTGACGCACATCAAGAAGTCGGGCCCCATCGATGAGAAACAGTCGAAGGTCTGGTTCTTTCAAATGGCGAAAGCTCTCAAGTATCTGCACACCCATGACATTGCCCATCGGGATCTCAAATGCGAGAATATATTGCTATCGAAGCGCCTTAATGTCAAATTAGCCGATTTTGGCTTTGCCAGATATTGCCGAGACGAGACCGGACATCAATTGAAATCGGAAACATATTGCGGGTCTGCCGCTTATGCTGCACCAGAGGTTGTCTGTGGTGTGCCATACGATCCAAAGTTGGCTGACGCTTGGTCGCTGGGCGTTATATTGTTTATAATGATGAACGCCAAGATGCCTTTCGATGATAGCAATCTGACCAAACTGCTCGAGGATCAACGTCGCAAGAAATTTGCCTTCCGTCGCAAGCTACAGGATGTAATATCGCCGCACGCCAAGGCGACGGTGTCTGTGCTGCTGGAACCAGATGCAGCGACTCGCTGGGATCTACGTGAAATACTTAACTGCAGCTGGCTGAGCTCTGTGGAGGACCCGCGTCCGTCGGCCTCCAACTGAATGAAGATATGGTCATATATATACATATATATTTTTTGAATTGGAATCAGAGCATACTCTTAAGTATTCAACAGAAAGTCAGGTGTGAGCTATTCCATTTACGCAACTATGTGATGTACATATGTGTGTGTATATATATGTGTATGTTTTATACTATAACTCTATATATATATATATGTATATGTATCTATACATATTCATAGTTAGTTAAATTGTTAGGTATACCCCCTACACTACTTACACTAAATGAGGAATAAATGAAAAATTGTCAAGCGTTTTGGTGCCTTTTGTTGCTGTTCCTACAGCAGCCACGCCTCCTCATATATTTTGTTCAACTTCAACTAAAACAAAAGTGCATCGAAGCCTGACCCTGACCACAGACGCTGTCATAATCGTTCAAGAAAAACAACTATAAAACTGCATTAACTGAATTTTCTCCCATTTGGTGAAGCGAGACCAAGCCAGGCTAGCCGTAGAGATGGCCCTAAGCTGTTGGCCTTATGTTGACATTCTTTTTATTGAAAAGATTCAGTTTCGAATATTATTTTTTAAGATTTCAAATAAAGTTGCTAAGGAATTAAAATTTAAATCAACCTTTTTTTTTTGATTCAATTACGCAAATTATTGATTTTATTTTTTTGGTATTTGAATGAACCAGTTCAGCAAATTTAGAGTAGCTTAGGTTTTTTACTTGAAATACAAATATCAGCTCAGCTGTTCAATGGTTTATTTGAACTTAAAGTAAGGTCTAAAACGAACTAGTTCAAAAACTCATTTCCATTTCTCTGTAACAGGGAACTTGAACTCTTTAGGAACCAGTTGCAAAAGAGCCATATTCATGGTTCATTTGAACTAGAGGGCTCTTATGCAAGCTGAGTAAATAGTTTAGTTTGTCTTACTATGAATCGAAGCCTGAAAGGAACTGAACCATATTCAATATATGGTATTTGTTCAATTGAGCTAGTTCATAATTTAGGCATTCTGAAATATATTTTCCAAATATTTATCTCTGCTACCTCTTTATTAATTTGAACTTTTGGAACTATCGAGTCAACTAACTGCTCACGGGTACATCTCTAGTGCTCAGCTTATGTTTGGTAGGCAGCCGTGTCCTGGGCGGCATGTGTTGCAAACTTTAACAAACTTGCAATTGGCAGCCATGACAACGGCAACGACAATCTCTAGACGACAGTCGGACAATAAGTGTCCGAAAGTACGAGCCAAATCGGAGCTCTGGGGTAGATAATTTGCATTGGAGCGCGGGCAGTTTAAGTGGCCAAACAGTCTCCTAACATGGCTAGGTCTGGCCTGTTTGGTTCGTGCCACAGCACACGAGCCGTGGCGAGTGTGTGACATGTGGTGCAGAGTGTACACCCACATTCAGCTGCCTGCCAGCCAACTACCTGTATTTGGCCATATTCCAACTTAATTTCTATCAAAATGTTTAGAGCTTGGTCTTTAGAGCCTTTTCTAGTTGTCGGCTTTGTTGTTGTTGCTCTTGTTGCTTCGTTAGCTCTGGGGTTTGTTGCCGTTGTTTTATGTGCCGTGTGCTGTGTTTTTATTTTACGACTCTTTTGTCCAAGTGCTGTGCAGCTGCATGTGTGGCACAACTCGGCTTTTCGTTTAGTTTAAGCATCGCCTGCACACCTGTGCGTATGCGTAATGCAATTTTGAATTAATTAATATGTACATGTGTGCGTGTGTGAGTGCCTGTGGCACTAAAATGTTGTGCATTGGCTCATCTATTTCCCCTCGCTCTCAAGTTGGCTGCTTTCAAATTAATTTGCAGGCAACGTGTTGAGCTCTGTGGATGCATCATCTCTGAAACGCATCTTTGTTGTTATTGCAACGGCTTATTAAACAGTCCTCATATCACCACCTCTCGGACCCAACTCCTGTGCATTGTATTTGTTGAAAGTTGCTTAGCAACTTCCGTTCACTTTTGTCTATCTCATCTTTTTCCAGCTCTTGACAAATCTTTTTTGTTGTCTCCAATTGCGCAGCTCAACAATTGAATGAAATTTCGTTTTCAATTCGATTTGCTTGGCTTGACTGAACAGCTGCTCGGACAATTGAATTTGAATTACCAAAGCGTCTCTTATTAAAATGCAATTAAAGACAAATAGGAAACTGGTTCAAGTCGATGAACGTTAAAACTATCCTTTGCATAGTTATTTCCTGAACGAACCAACTTGATGTATATAAATATTTCATTTATAAGTTCATTTCTTGTTTTTATACTAAATATAATGATCTGTAGCTTCACGCTTCACTCAAATTTTCAATGTAGACGACTTGCACGCGTTTTTGTAGCGATTAAAAACGCGCCCGTTAACGATTGTCCAAAAGGTGCGGCAGGAACATGCAAAATTTAACATATAGTTGGCCAAATGAACTTGCACACACAAAGCTATTTCAATTACACCCACACACACACCCACACGCTCACAAACCCACACACACACATTCAAACAGTGAGTGCTGCAGATTCAATTAGGCGCACAAAACCAAACAAACGAAGTTAGATACAAATGACAAAAAAAGAGGAGAACAAAGTGTAGGTTTGGGACTCCGCCATCGAAATTTGGAGTTTGATATTGTAGCATTTGTGAGCCGTGTTCATTGTTGGCATTTTGCATTTTTGGCCGCGACAAGTTGAGCCGGTTTATGGCTAAAACACATTAAGCGAACCGCATAAAAACATTTTTCGCCGCACAGACCCAACTTCTGCTGCGCTGAAGCGCTCCAATAATGCGAGCACACTCCACGCATCATCATGCCTGGTTGCAGTTCTCACTCCGGCAGATACATATTTGTAGATACAGATACAGCTACACACGCTGTTTGCCAAACACTTTTGCATAACATTTGGCAGTGCATTGCATTCGGCACTTCTTATTTGCTGCGATTTTGATGCAATTTTTGAATACGTCAGGTGCGCAACCATTACCTATTGGCACCCTGTCCCCTTATCCAAATACCCTCCGGGCGCTCATTCTCCCATAGATACAACCTGGTCAGGGTTAATAGGCAAGCGTACTCCGGCCCGCAGGCAAAACATTTCACGCTTTTTCGACATTTCTGGCGCATAATTTGATTAGATTTCGATACGTCGCGCAAATTGTTTTGCCTCGATTTCGACATCAAATAGGTTTGGGCATCGGGCGGGCATTGGCTACCAACTGCATTGAGTGCGAGTTTTTGGGCCTGCTGTTGGCATTTGCGGACAGTTATATGAGCTACACTTGCAGAGCGTATGACATTTTTGGCATAAACTGTGTAACGATTGGGGAAGAGACTTGTTCAATCATATGATATATATTATTAACGATTTTCTGGAGTTATTTCAAGCTATTTTTCAGTACTTCACTGTGTTTCTCTGAAGCTCTAAGAGTTGAGTTTTTTGGCTTATTGTTTCGTATAAACTAAACTTTCCATATTATTTAAGATATGTTTTCTACAACTTTAGTCAAAATAATATTTGATTATGTGCTAAAGTTGATATTGCCTAGGTTCAGCTGCTCTACTATATCGTTTGATTCTCCCATAAATATTCAATTTTATAAACTCTGCTTCAATACTACTCTGCTTCAAAACCCACACAATTTATCATTACCATGTCGTTCACGCTTAAGCCTTGAGATAAAAGTCTTAATCTACTTTAACATATGGCTAAAATACTAACCGCTAAAGCCGCTTATCTTAACTTCAGTGCGCACGTCGTTCACACATTTGCAGCGTATTTAAGTGTCGCCATTTCACTTTCATCACTTTCGAATTTGATTTGATTTTGGCCAATGTTTTGTGGCGTTTTTCGCATGCCTCGCTCGCTCGTCGCTGGCTTCGTTCGCTTTTCACAAATGCAATTAAATGCAAATTTATTGCGTAAATATTTACTTGAGCGTAAATGAATTTTAATTTTGTCATCGCGACGCGATTTGTGTTTTTGGACATTTTTGTGCGGCCAGCCGGAGGGGTCGACGTACACTAAATACCCAAACTTGGCTAACAATTTACCACTGAAAATTATAATAGCCAGACGCCACAGATTTGTCGACATTGTTTTATTTTAGTTTTGTCCATTTATGGCGCAAATTGTGCATTGGCTAAAACTTTACAAACCGTTTCTTCAATTACCAAGCAAGACACCAAGCTGTCCGCCTGCCCCTCTTCAATCCCCTCTGATCTTCAATTCGAATTGCAGCCTTTTGGCCTGTTGCCTGCTGCGCATGCGCCGTGCCATGGCACCCGACTGTCTGCAGGCTAATTACAGTGTCCGTCTAAATGCAATAAGCTTGGCTCACAAAATATTAGCCAGCTTCGAAGTGCGAAAAATTGCGAGCTCAGCTCAGCGCACATAGATTAGTTTAAAGCACAATGCGCCGGGGTCAGCGCGGTTCATTTCAAAAAATTGCAAATCATCATTTACATAAGAGTCTGGCTTGGATCTAAATAGCAGTGTGCCCACAAAATTACATTGTTTAAAGCCTATTAGTAGGCGGCTTATAATACGATATTATCTGAAAGCCAAATTTCAGCTAAAGCTTATGTGGTATGTACCAATAGAAAGTTATATATATATATATATATATATTAGTGAAAGTTGTGTCAACCAAGATTTAGCTGAAGTCTAGTGTATAAATAAAATATAAGATAAATATATATATAATTGAAAATATCAATGAATATATATATATTTAATTTATTTCATAAATACATAATTAATATATGCATAATTAAACCCATTCAAAATTATATTTCAATTCATTATTGAATTTATGAATTGTATATAAGAGACATAAGAATGAGTAATATAAAGAATGTTTGCCATTCCAGAAAGTATAAACTTATGACTTCATATTTTACTTTTCATATTATTTATGTCAATATGGTTTGATTTATGAAATTTTAAAAATAATATTTAATTTAATCTATAGATTTTACATGTGCTAAAATCAAATATTCCAAAATTTCCTAGTTGTTGAAGCATAACAATTTTGAAAGTTATGCTACGTATCCATAGATACTTCGCCCATTTTCAAATCCCAAAGTTTGAGTTTAAGAACTTTTGTGGTTATAGTCATATCATACAGAGGTTTTCCTTAATATCTTATATAAGGACTCATTTACTTTGCAGATAAAGTTTTATAAATAAAACATAAAATAGATTATAGATACATTTTCGCCTCATTAGGTAAAGTTTACTATATGAATCTTTGCCTCTATTAGTTAGATATTGCAATTCGAATTATATTTTGTTTCCTCGCTCAATTATTTTTATTGGTTTATGTATTGCTGTACACGAATTACTATTTATCCAATATACTCTTTTCACATATTTCTTCACAAGTATACAAATAATTGAGCAAAGAGATAGTTAATTATCTAATAATTACAATTGCGGTCTAACCAATTATTATCACAAATTAGTCTAAACAATGCTAAGAATGGAACTAAAATCGATTCGGATTGAACGCAAAATTTTTACTCATATTTATCTAAAGGTC